AGGGAAGCCTCTTGCCAATGTGACTTTCAAGACCTATGGCTATATTAGTATGGTCCAAGCCCTATTTTTGATCTCTGACTTCAAATTGGGACATTATATGAAGATTCCTCCCAGATCCATGTTCATCGTTCAGGTCAATTTTTTTTTAATTAATAAAATATATAGTAATTAATTAATTTTTTATATATTATATTATTAATTATATCATATATATTATACATGGACTAATTCCATTTTGTCAATTTACGACAATGTTTGATTACTTCAGTTGGTTGGAACCATAGTTGCTTCCTCAACCTGCTTTGGCACTGCTTGGTATCTTCTGTCAAATGTGGAAAATATGTGTAATCCATCTTTGCTACCTGAAGGAAGTCCTTGGACATGCCCCAACGATGACGTTTTCTACAATGCTTCAATTATCTGGGGGGTTATAGGACCTCTAAGAATGTTCACAAAATACGGTATCTACCTAGAATTGAATTGGTTCTTCCTCATTGGAGCACTCTCCCCTTTCCCAGTCTGGTGGCTCTCACGCAAATACCCCGAAAAGAAGTGGATAAATCTCATCCACATGCCACTCATCATGGCTGGTGCCTCTGGCTTGCCATCAGCCAAAGCCGTGCACTACATGATGTGGGCATCTGTTGGGATTTTCTTCAACTGGTACATTTACAATAAGTACAAGGGATGGTGGGCTAGACATACTTATATCTTATCAGCTGCTCTGGATGCTGGAGTTGCTTTCATGGGTGTTACCCTTTATTTTGCACTGCAGTCTTATAATATCAATGGTCCAGATTGGTGGGGTTTGGAGGCTACCGACCATTGTCCGTTGGCATCCTGCCCCACTGCTCCTGGGATTCGGGTTAAAGGCTGTCCTGTCCTTTGAGATATAAGTATATAAATATATTTAATTTCTCTATTCTTCATGTCGTTCAAAATGCATGCATATGCATATGTAATAAAACTCTCTGTCCTTTTAGTTGTAACCTAATGGGGTTGTGTTTCTTGAGTTAGCAATTTGGAAAATACTTACCCTAGATGTTCTTTGATTTAAGCCAGAAATTTTCGCCAGGAAAAAGAAAAAAAGTCCATCTACTGAATATAGAGATTTTTTTTTTATTTCTTTTATTTTTTGTTAATTTGTGTTCCTGATGATGGAACCTCGGTTCCATTGATCATTCTTTTTTATGCTTTTTCTTTCCTTTTCTTTTACTACCATCGTATCATAGATCCACTCCTCAGGACAGGCTTGCGAAGGCGTGATCGGGTTAATCATCATAAATTTTATAAAAAATATATATGTATTATATTTGACATTTTAAAAAAAATTTAGGGAGGTGCTGCTGGCCCCTTGTCCTATATAAGCTGGTCACGTCTGTTCTGAGACTGGAGTCATCACATTTCATGGGTGATGCAGCACATTATCACGTACATGGTTGTTTTGGTTGAGTTATGACATGAATCAATGAATAACCACATGACCGGCTATGACCGTTCGTTGTCCCACCACCAGACATGCCCTTATTAAGCCGATGCTTCTGCTTGACTTGATTATCCTTATTCCCAAACAAAGTTTCAATTTTCAGAAAAATGTTCCACATATAATAAATATCTACAACACTTTCACTATCGGTCTAAGTCTCTCCCCAATTTGCTTTCAAGTTTAGATATAATTCATGACCCAAGCTTAAATAGGTCCCAAACAGAGTATACTATGCAAACGTTACCAAATTTTGGAAAATGTCCCACAAATAATAAATATTTATGACAGTTGCACCACCACTTTAAGTCTCTCCTCCCTCGCCCCCTCCGGACTATGAAGAAGCACGTCAATCAAACCAAGGAGGAAAGTATCTAGGCCAACCAAACTCAGAGCAATAATCAAGGAATATTATGAGCAACGGTCAAGTAACGTTACTCTCCTTAATCCTAGGCATAACAAATGAATCTGATCATGAAATTACAATTATATATATATCTCCACTCTTGTACAGAACACAGTCAAGATACGTTACTCTCCTTAATCCTAGGCATAACAAATGGATCTGATCATGCAATTACAATTATATATATCTCCACTTTTGTACAGAACACTTATCAAATACAACTCAGTAATCTTTTCAAATTCTTTATATTTTCCTTCACGGCCCTCCCTAAATTGGTTTCAACTCTAGGAACGGACGCTAGCGTGTGATATAACTTAGAACTCTATTGAACCTTGAAAGTTTTTCTTACATGGAATGGATTTTTAATCCAGTAAGATGCTTGACTAATATCAAATAGAGGTTAGAGGGGGAGCTGATCTGCAGATTTCTCTGTTTGGGATGTTTTTTGGTCTTTGTTATTTTGATACCATTGTCTGCTTGTAAATTCACATGATGTTGTTTATGGGTTTGAGTACTCTTTGTACTCACATAATAAATTGCTTTTGCTTTTCAAAAAAAAAAAAAATCATCTCATCCCTATTGTGGTTGAAAGGTTAAGAGGAATTAAAAAAAGAAATGATTTTTTCGATCTATTCTAAGATAAACCGATTCTTCTATTTATCATCTCAAAAAATTTTCTACGTTAACGAAAAACAAAGGATATGAAATTGGCCGGATGAATCAACCAAGTGAGGAGTTGGCACAACATATTATTCATCCGTTGATATTCAATGTAATAAGTTTAATGAAGAGTTTGTTGACAGCTAAACTTGGGTCCTAAAATGTGAAACTCCAAGGCCTCCAATATTAGAGATTCTCCTCTATTCAAGAGTTTTTTATTTTGAATAATGATACATGCACACTCCACCGTACCACACTCCGTTACATCATTCAATTTCTGTCGATTTCTGTTAATTATACTTAACTACGTTACCACCTCTTTAGCCATCTCCCAACGCACCCAACCTTTTTCGTCCTCACCAAATCCATCTTCCTTCTCACTTCCATCCTTATCCTAATCATTTGCAAGACAATTGCCAGCCCTCTCCCAAGTTCCCACCTTCTTCCTTTTTTCCTTTTTTTTTATTATTTTTCTAGAGAACCTAACCTGGGTTCTTGGAGAACCCGATGGGTTCTCCGATCTAGGAACCCAGACCTGGGTGCTGTTGGAGAACCCGATCTAGGTGCTCCTGGAGAACCCAATCTAGGTTCTCTGAGAACCCAATGGGTTCTCCAAGAAGAACCCAGGTCTAGGTTCTCAGAACCCGAGAGAGAAAAAAAAGAAAAAAGAAAAAAAAAAAGGAAGAAGGTGGGAATTGGTGCGGTGAGAGTATAATAGTAACTAACGGAGTGTGGGAACTAATGAAAGTTAACAGAAAAAAGAGTGTGTAACGAGAGCGTGGTACGGTGGAGTGTAAGTCAATCATGATCCTTTTATTTTATAATTTAATGTAATTTAGATTGTAAAGTAATTTTTTATTAAAAAATATTAAATAAATAAAAGCATATTAAATCCAAATTTTAATTAACTTAATTCAGACTTTAATTTTGGACACGGTTATATCCACTAATAATAATATTATGACCACCAAAATAATAAAATATTTTTTAAAAAATAATTTTATTTAATTTTATTGATAAAAATAATTAATAACTATAATTATTAATTAATATAATAAAATAACTTAAATTTATTAATTTACAAATTAAAATCAATTAACAAATAAGATTTTACACATATAAGGATATCACTTTCTAAAATTTTTCTAATTAAGGGTATTACCTTTTTATTGAACTAATTAAAGTTATCACTTCTAAAAAATTTCTAAGTAAGGGTACAACCTTTTTAATTTTACTATTTAAGGATTAATAGGATGTCAATGCTGATTTGGCAAACGGATTTCATTTGTGGGACACAATAAATTGTTGATGTGTCAAAAAATTGACAGGTGGCTGCCCGGACTTAAAGCTGATTTGAACAATAAAAATTCACGTTAGAATTCTTAATGAATCGTGTCGATACTAAAACATGTGGTGTTGACACCGAACCGGTGTCGGGAATTCTTTGTGACGTTAGGAAAAATTAATTAAAATTAGGTTAAACTAAATTAATAAGCAAATCCTAAAGAGATTGAATTAGCATACAGAATCCCTCTAGAATAGCTTTTGATAATTAAAATAATAATATTTTTACACCCATCTAAATATTAAAAAATTTTTAAAAAATTCAAACATTTACTTTATTTTTTATCTTCGATTGAGAGAACTACACAACTTTGAAGAATAACTCGTCACTTGAGATTTTTTTATTTGTTATTTTCATAATGTTGGGGTAAAATTATTCCATGTCTGGAACTAGACTAAATAGAGAGCTTGATCAGTCAAATCAAATTTTATTCCATGTCATATTTGATTTCTATGTCTCGAAAAAAAAAAAAAAAAAAAAAAAAAAAAAAAAAAAAAA